ATACAGCCTTTGAACAGTTAGCATCTTTAGCAGTGTCCTTTAGAGGTTTTCCTAGATTTGGGAGGGTGTTAGTGACTAATGGACAACTCTCAAATCAGCAGCCTTTTTACACAATGAAAATAAACATAACAAACATGTTGAAGATAACATCTTTGAACTTTTTCTGATTACTCTAATTCTAACAAATTCCGAAGGGGATTTAGTTTTCATTAGATGTCAAACATAATCCTCAAAAACAACAGAAATACACTTGAATTATGTCAGTCATTATTTTCCAGTTTGTGTTTTTTTTTTTTATTAAATCCCAAATTGAACTAAATTAACAAGGATTATATACAATACTGAAATTTCCCTGTAATGGTTTTCCCTAAGTTTAAATGTAAAATTTCATGAAAAGAATGTTCACATTGAATATCAATAAATAACAGCAGAAAAGCAAGAAATTCTTGCACTTCTCGCACATAACTGTTGACAGCATAAGAGAAACACGTTTCCCTTTTAAGTCTACAAGCAAAAGATGTTAAAATGATTTGTGACTTGCACTGACTGCATTATTGTTTTTTGAAATATAAGCATCTGCTCTGGTGCAGGCTGTGTTTTGTCATACAGGTCTAACTGCATAGTTTTAAATGTTTTTTTGTGTCATTCTCCTAGCAAAACTGCAGTAAAGCCAAGCCCAAACACACCCTATTCTTTCATAATAAGGCTTATCCAATGTGAAACTTTCCATTGTTAGCTGGCTAAAAATTACAAATGTACACAGTTTTTGTCGACATGCACCGTTTCATTAAAGACTAGCCCTTTAGCTATCACCAAAAGACATCTCAGACAAAAAAAGGTTAATTTGTTTGGTTGGAAATGGGACCTTTGTGAAAAGTTGAATACTTATGTCTTTTGACCTAACCTAACCCTGCAGAAGAAGTTTTTATATATGAACATTTTTAATGAGGGGCATCTTGGGGACCTACCAGAACGCCTGCTTCTGACGACCAGATTACGGCCACACTTTAAGTTAATACTCAGCAGGTACCTCTGGAACGGGGAGGGTGACTGAACATCAGGGCCTGTGCACAAGATATCCTGTGGAGAACCCACAGTTCAATGAACATGGCTGGTTACAACAGTTGCTTGGCATATTTCAGTGCAGGAAACTCACAAGGCCTTCTGTTGGGTCTGTAATATTTTCATCAAAGTCTTCAAAGGCTTCTGCAGAGTTCTAAATAAGAAAGATCAAATGTTTTAAACAAACATGAGTACATCTGAGTACCCTCAAAAATAGACATTTAAACCCATATCTATTTGCCAAACTATATCACGAGGGTTTTAGCAGTAAATGACATTTTTTCCATCGACCTTTTCCATTGACCTTTTTCCTCACATGGTAGAAAGGTTTGAATCATATTGTGTAACTGACTTGTTGCACAGGTTTGTAACTGGTTTCGTCACGGTACCTGAGAGACGTTAAAGGACAAAAAAGGTTGTTGTCACGTGATTAAATCCAAGCTAAACCTCAGCTGGTCATTACAAAGACCTAAGGAGGTTTTTTTTTGTTCTTTTTATATATATATAGATATATATATAGATATATATAGATATATATATCTATATATATATATATATATATATAGATATATATATATTAGGCCTTAAAATGGCTAAAAAAAGAGAATTTAGAATTTAGAAAAGTGAAATAAAATTAATAATAAGAAGCTCAATGTATGCTTTATGTTGATTCACATAGGCCTTCATAGTGGAAAATACGCAAATCACAAAATTTGTCTATAATACAAACAAAATCACTTATATTCAAAAAATACTTTACTAAACAGAAAAGGAAATTAAATTGAACTACTACTTTTTTCATATATTAATACAAGAAACTGCACTTTAAAACATGTCAATTAGGTATTTTCTAATCTGCCCTATAATTTCCAAATAACTTCATCCAAGTAGGGATGTCATATATATTTTTGAAGCAGTAAGAATAAAAGGGATGGCTAGTGTGAGTTATTTAAAAAAAAAAATCACAATTTAACAAGGGTCTTATAACTTGGTCAATTATTCAAGATATGAAAATACAAAGAAACTTGTATGACTAACCTCCTCTAGAGACTCATCTGCGTTTTCCAGGTCAAGAAGACCCTCATCCATTGAGATTTCTCTCAGCAGAGAGGAAGAGGATGTTTGTTCAAGGTCTTCCTCCTCCCAGGTCGTTGGCCAGGACATGTTGACTTGTTCCTCACTAGGAGTGCCACAGGCAGAATAAAGAGATGAAGCATCTGCATTGTCAAATTGAGCATCGTGTAAGGACAGCCTTTCTGCGGAGGAGTTTGGTCGGCTAGTTTGTAAAACGAGCTTTTCAAACACTGGTTTTCTTGTGTCGAACATCACGGTCCTCTTCTCAATCTGAGGACGTCTTTCATCTCCCATGGAACTTGCTCTGGGGATGAGTCCCGCAACGACATCAGACATCCTTCTGCGAGTTTGAGGCTTTTCATCAGACAGGCTCTCCTTCTCCCCTTGGTCACTTTCTGGTTCTTTAATGTTCTCGAATACGAACTTTTGGATATTTTTCATGGGCTTTTTATCCTCTTGAGCAGAAAGGTTAAGATCATCATTCCTTTGGCTTTTTGGGCTTGAATTCTTCAGGAAGATCCCATCCTCATAGGCTGGAGGTGCACTTAATCTGCTTGGCGATGAAACTGGAGCTTTACGCAGATGAGCCCTGTATTGAATCTCTGAGAGAGACTCAGTGAATTTCTCAGCAAAAAGCGGTCCTTCAGGGATGGAGCTGCTAGCAATCGAATCTGTATCACTCATACCAGGAGAGATCCCAAAGTAGATGGCCTCAGAAGGGGAAGGCAGTGCAGCACTTTCAGTAGAACTCGCTTCGCCTGGAATAAAGCTTAGATCTGGTACAGAAATGCTCCGGCGATTGGCCAGATTCCTTGGCTGTTTGGCAAGCAGCTTTTTACGTGGCTTCTTGATGTTGGGCATTTTCGTTTTTAGACGAAAATTTTCCAAAAATTTCTTTCTTCCTTCCATTTTAAGTAATACCTGTCAGAAAAACATAGATAAACCTGATTAATAAATTATATTTTTCTCCCACACAGTTTGCCATAATGATGATAAAACTACAGGATACCCTAATAAATAAGGAACTTAAGCAGTGATGACAAAAGAGTTTGTGTTTTCAAAATAAAATTTACAATTCCTCTTAAAAATAACATATTCAATCATATGTACACTTGATAAATAACAGAGTTGGTTTCAGTGTCCTAATGGGGGAAACAAATGATTAGCAATAAATATTATTGTCAAAATAATGGCCACAAATTTTCAAAACAAAACTTTGATATTTAAAAGCACATTATTCCCAAAAAGGTTTTACATCATTTAAGCTTTTTTTTAATTTTGCTTGTATTTGTTATTTTCTGAGTTCATAAAAAAAATCCATTTAGGAGTTTTCTGTATCACTTTTTGGACTTCAGGTTAGATTTCTGGTTACCTCTGACAATATATTTTAGCATATTACAAATTACATTTTAAGAATTATTATTTGTTTCTCTCATTAAGGTGATGATTGTAGGAACTCTGCCTTTTAAAACATTTTTATCAACAAACTTAAACAGAACAGTGTAACCTGTTAATTTAACTCCACAATGCACAGATCATGATTTTTTTAACTGAGAATATATCAAAAGACCAAAAATCCAACAGGACCACTCTTTTGGGATTCTTTCACTTAAATTTAAAAAGACAAAATCTAATTTACCTTTTCGGTCGACCTCTTCACAACAGCTTGACAGAGACACTGAGTTTGTTTCCTACCGATCCACAATTTTTTTTTTACCTGCAGACATCTCAACAATCCTAACTATGGTGAGCAACAGGCTGTGCTTCAGGAAGCACACTAGCTGATTGGTGGGAGAGCCGCACTGGCTGAAACTAGCTGTTCCAGTCACACAAGTCCCAGTTTCAGTGACTGATGTAAACCTGCCTAGGCCTTCCTCAGTTATCCATAATGGACAGAGCTGCAAACTTGTGTTCTGTGAGATCAGAAAGCATCTGAATGAAAGAGATCAAAACAACACTGAAACAGTTATATGTTTGCTCACAGTAAGCCTGTTGTTGATTTGCATAGTTGATGGTTTATTTGCATATGGGACCATTTCCCTGCTCTTAGGCATGCATACAACATGGTTTCCTAAGTTCTCTTACTGCAAGTCCAAGTGTCTAAAAATATAGCTTCTTAATTCCGACATCTACAGCAGAGCTGTCCAAAGCAATCCCAAAAAACGTCTGATTGATTCTGCAACATGACTGAGGCATATGAAATGTCATAGCAGATCTCACCCAGTTTCGCACAGATACACATTTGTTTACATTGGAATACTGTGAGCCTAAGCTCCTCCAAACCGAGCATTTGTGTTTGTGAGGTATAAACTTCAGCTCTGTGTCCACACAGACTCTAATGCAACAGACCAACTGCTGTTTTTCTTCTTTTTTTTTTCCCCCTCTCCTCAATCTCTGCCCTAACCGTGGCAACTAACATGAGAGCAGATGTGTTTGATTCTGGGCAGAGACTTGTTCAATATTTGCTGATGTCTTAAGGAGATCAGGCCCACATGAAAGAGCTGCAACTTGGCTTCTAGTTAAAAGGCAGGTTTTGGTATCTGAACAGGGGCCAGATCCCCTACGGACGGCAGGTGGCCTCAAGGCCTGCATATCACATCAGTCAAACAATGGAAAAACCTTGCACGGTAGCCCTGCACATGCACACTGGATGCAATCCAAGCAAAAACACAGCTGGTCTCATGGAGAAAAAGCCTAAACATTCGGCATTTAAAGCACAAACACAATTCTTGACAGGCGGTTTAGGAGGCGCATTTGAAGCATATTGAATATTTTTATATATATATATTTAAGCGATATCTGACACGGTTGTTTTTTTTTTTTTTTCAAATTAACATCCACCTCATTAAAACATATAAACAACTTTAAAAAAAAATTCAGATTAAATAGTTTTCGCTCTTGAGAGCTTTTCCAAAAATACTTACGTCTGCTATCAAGCCAGTGAAGCGCTTCGCCTTCCGATGTCACCTGATTTCCGACTACCTGTTGGTTTCTATGGGAACCGTTTACGTTCCAGGTGTAGAGTTTTGACTTCTGCCATGCTGTACCGATGCAGAGCGAAAAATCTGGTTCCCTTATTGTTAATCACATTGGTTTAACAAAAAGATTTACTATATATAACAACAACAATAATAATTTGGTTGGCTTTATGCACAATTCTTCAGCTGTCGGGGATGTTTATAAGATTTTCTGCAGGAAATTTGACTTCAATTTCACATTATTGATATTTTTTAAAGAATAAAGTACCTTAATTCTTTAAAGTATCTTTGAAGTATCTTCAATCTTTAAAAACATAGCAAGTTGTGCATATTTTTCCCTTTTATTGAAATAAAACGATTTATTTATTTATTTATTTATATTTTTTTATTAGAAGTTGATTTCTGTGTAGGCTGCTAGTTGCCGCTAGATGGTACACTTCCTCCATTATAAAAAAAAAAAAAAAAAAAAAGAAAAATCAAGACCTGACATTTCCAAAGTCTGGAAGATGTTATGTTTTAGACAACACACATAAGTTGCTTTTGTCTTTTTTTTTTTTTATACTTTTTCAAACGGAAATGCAACTATGTTGATCTTAGAAATATCTATAGATTATTGCTGCAGTTGTACAGAAGCTACAGGGTGAAGAAAAGAAAATGTTGCTGGATTTCTTTTCAAGTGTTGTTTTTAGAAGCCAAGTTTATAATAAGTTCACCGTATTTTCAGTAATATTAAAAACATATAAAAACAATAGAAGAAATAAAGTGTGGATATACAGTAAATAATACAGTGCTGAATCAGATTTGTTCTATTTGTCTGTGCACACTTTGGTACTTTTTGGGTTCCTCAGCAGTGCTAGTGTTGCACTGATGCCATTTTCTGGCCCCGATACCCGATATCTGGCTGTGCAGTATCGGCCGATACCGTACCGATATCATCTTTTGAATATGTGTGTGCATATATGAAGAACTGCATTCTACTTGGATGTAAAATAATTGCCATCATGGCTTTGTCAAGCTGCTGCCTACCTTAGTGAAGCAGGAAAAAGACTAATACAAAGTGAATCCAGTAGAACTTTTTATTATCTACCTGGAATGGGTGACAAGAGATGAATAAACTTTTGGCTCTCGAAATGGTATCAGTGTCCTATTTCTTGGTATTTGCCGACACCGATACCACCATTTTAGTGCAATATTGGTATTGGTGCAACACTAAGCAGTACAGTATATAACAGTTAATGAACATGAGATTTACACCCAAGACAATCCTACAATGGCAGAAATAAACGAGTTAAGTATCACTCAATATATAATTTGAAATACAGCTTAAATAGGGATGAGCACACTCTGTGCCCTTTTTGTAGAACAGTGACTAAATAAAGGACATGATTCAATATCACACCCTTGTAGTTATTAGGTCAAGAATGTTTCCATAGTGTTGTTTGCAATTATATTATTCAAATTAACCAGAAGATTAATTTAGGTATTCAAATATTAAGGTGTTTTCTACCAAATCTGCCCTTTACCACAATACTATTCTGTCAGTTTACTGTCACCCAGTCAAGATGGATTTAATATCCAATTATATGAACTGCGTACTATTTAGCTGTAGTCAGTGGAGAATGTTGCAGTGTGATCATCAGTTATCTCAGTCATGCTGAAAAGTTTCTTAACTCAGAACCCATCCAAAGAAATGCCGGTCACCTTACTCTTTTGATTACTCTTCGAATAGAAATGATGGAAATATTTTGTAAAAAGTTATTTTAATTTTCACTCTCATTTTAGTCTTATAAATAATTTTGGGCTAGATAAGGCACCATCTATACCCCAAAAAATAATGGGCTTTTGGAGAATCATGTCGTCCATTTACCTACTCTTGCGGAACTAATTGTAATGGCAATCAAAACACAAACATCTTGATCCAATAATTATTTCACTACATGGCTGTTTTCTGGCATATACTTTGAATTTATAATTTCTGCATTTTAAGTTTGAAACAATCCCACCCTTCAAAACCACTATTCTTTAAAAGCTGCAGTACAGCCTACTGTATGCATTTCATATCCCATCTGTTTGTGAACAAAACATGTCACCCACATACTCTACACCTTATTTTACTATCTAACATGTTCTGACTCAAATTTTCCATTCAAATCCTATTGCCTTAAAGTTATTGTGTTTTTATCATTTCAAAATAGCATAGATATAAAATAATACTTTACTTGTGGGTGGAAAATTAAAGAAATGTTGATGGTATTATAAACGTCCACACAGCATGGTGTAAATTTTCAACAATCCATGCCTGCATACTGATTCTTGAAGATAATTATGTTTAAATGTGCTTAATTTTATTTTATTTTTTCTCATGTAGTTTTTTCTTTGCTCCAGAAGAAGTTGTTTTCCATGCATTTGTTTTTCCTAAACACTACTGGAAAAACACAGATGAAGCTTCTCACTTCAAGTGACTCATTTTCTTTTAGTTTCTCTGCAAGACATGACAGTTAGTACAACAACAGGACCTCCCAGATGTGGAATGCAGCCTTTGATTCACCCCCGCTGTTTATGTCCCAACCTGTCCAAGTGCCCACAGCATGACCGTGCCTTTTATGTACTAATCAGATATTCCAATTTATCTCTTAAGTTCAACTTTTGACATATTGTTTAAGCTTATCATACAGACGAGTTTAGAGAATTACCTATAATTTCCATTGTATGTTGCATAAAAGTCAAAGGGAAAAACAAAAAAACAAAAAAAACAACGGTTATGTTGAATATAATGTCACAGAGTTTAGGTGGAATTTTTCATTTCACTTTGGAATTTATGCATCTTTGTTTTTAGGTATATGGAGAAAACTTTCCATTCATGTTTTAAATCAGCAAAGCTGCTCAATTATGCCCGCAAATAATATGATAATATAAAAAGCACAAACAGCTCTGTTGGAATTAACTTTGTTTTCAAGACCCAACCAGGAAGCCAACAACCTAAAGTACTGTGTGTATAGTTTATTGTACTGCTGCGCCTCCTTCTGGTAAGTTTATGGAAATGCATCAATGTCTGCAAGCAGGTACCAACATAGCTTGCCACTAGAGGCCACCTTATGCATATTACTGTAAAGAAAATCAATTTAAATTGATAAATTATATTTATTTATTAAACACAGTGATGCATCTCAAGTAGCCTACTTATTTCTGCTTACTGGTTCACAGCTAGCATATATTTGTTACTCTTTTATTCTTATAATTGATCAATTTTAGAACGAATAATTAAATATTCTAAGTTTATAACATCATCTTTTGGCCATATTATGGCCTACATTTTACATTTTCTTGATTATAAACATCGTTCCATCTTATAGCATAAGCCATGGACAAAATGATGCGCAGACAGAGTTGAGACTGAGCATACACTGAGGTGTTTAATAAAGTTGACAGTTTATACTGTTTGGGACTTCACAGAAGAACAAATTCTATGAAAGAGTTGTTTACTTCATATTATACAGAATAAGAGAAGAAAAAAAAACAAATTAATTACACATGAAAAAAGCCAATATTTGCACTTTTTGTGTGGAATACAAATTTTGTACAACATCTAGCATAGTTTCATAATTGTTCAATAGAAAGTTCACTTGAATAATTATTGTATGTTTAAAAATAAAATAACACATTCAAGCAAAAAAAAAAAAAAAAAGTTCAATAGAAAGTTCACTTGAATAATTATTGTATGTTTAAAAATAAAATAACACATTCAAGCAAAAAAAAAAAAAAAAAAAAATGCAGATTAACTTAAAATCTATTTCAATTTCAAAACAAATAATTTCATCATTGGCAACAAAGTCCAGCTTGTGCCGCCAAACTGCCTTGAGCGCTCAAGACCGAAAACAGCTTCTTTATTTACGTGAACAATCAACTACAGACACTTACCAAACATTTAGTTCTGTTTATAAAAGCCATGGAGCAAAGCGATGGATTCTTGAACAGCAAGGTAAAGAAACTCCTCTTCAGAGGTTCATCGATAACCCTTTCCTTTCACATTCATCTGTTGTGCACAATTTGGATGAGGAATAACAGAGCAACGTGTATCACTGTGCATTCGCCATGCCTCTTCGTATGTGTGTCTGCTGTGAGGAGAGGCAGATCTGGTCCCACATAAATGATGTTTGCATTGCACTTCCTTAAATGAGTGAGAATAAACGTGGTGCAATTTCTCTTTGGGATAAGGCATTTCCTAACTGTGCATATAGGTAGAGCGACTACAAAATTCCCTGATATGTCATCGAGTGCTAAAAAAATGTGCTCAACTATGAGGCGCTGCTGCCAAGACAGGCTGATGGTTTCTGTTGAAGTCATTCATTATTGCTATTTTCCTCTGCTGTGTTAAACTGGATTACAATATGAATAACTGGAGTCAGTGTGTATAACGTTTTTTGCAAATATAATAAAACTGCAGTTTTTTTCACATTTTGTCACATTAAGTCCACAAACCTTAATGCATTAAACATATATGCGATGTAACAGACCAACAAAGCGGTCTAAAATGTTTTTTTCTCTTTTTTGAAAATTAAAGTATGAAAAGTTTGGCCTCGATTTGTTTTTGTATCTAGAAGTCTCCTTTTAGAGTCCATCTGGGAGTAATTTAGGAGAGCATAGAGCATTAATCAGGGAAGCAGCCTCTCTGAAAGAGGCACAGAGAGCCACAGAGCACTCTCAAAAATGGACTTGTAAAAAAGTCAGTAAGAAAGCCATGAAAAAATTTAATCAGAGTTGTCATTTGTAGTCTGTAGCGATCTGAGTGGAACAACGAAAAAAGGTCGAAGGATGGTGCTCTGGGCAGATAAGATCAAAACGGAAGTTTTGGTCCTCATGCGCCTAATACACCATCATTTGGTTAAAACACATCATTTGCATCGTTATCCAAACGGGATGTGTTTTTTTAGCAGATAAAGGGAAACTGAGTTAGTTCCTCATCTTCTGACAAGATAACTCAAAACATAAAGTCAGGATGCGATGGAATACGAAGGAATGAGAGCTCAGGCTGGTATGGAAACTTCCTGAAACATTTTCTCCAACCTGGCTGAATTTGAGATGTTTGGCAAAACGCTGGTCACTAAATATGAAAAGCCAAAGAGATGCGCCTAAAATGATTTGAGGCTCTAACTGCAGCAAAAGGCAGTTCAACAAATTATTGCACCAGAGAAGAAATTATTTTATTTGATTGTTAAAAAAAGGTGCAATTTGTGTATCCTTTTTCTTCTATTTCAGAGGCGTTGCATTTTGTTGGTTATTCATATACGACCCCAGGAAATTACATTTTGTTTGCTTTGTGGCGGCACCCTGACAAAATGTGAAAAAGTTCAGGCTTTATGAATACCTTTGCAAATCACCATTAAAAAATAAATAAATAAAAATGAGAAGATGGGCCAAACAGATTGATGATCCTAAAATTGTAGTCCAGTAACTTCCAGCTGCGGCACTTTAGAATAGGAGGCTAACAGTCTGACACTCTTTCCCCTGACAGCCTGCAGACTTAGTATGTTTAGTAATGACATCATATATTTCATATTTCATGTGAAGAGGGGTTGACTCTGCATAGATCTAAAATGGTGTAAACTGTGGGAAGGGCGGGGCTGATGGATGCCCTAGGTCATTAACTCACACAAGACAAGTGCCATGGAGAATGCACAGTGAAATCTGTCTCGTACAGCAACATTCTCATACAAATGTGTGCCTCTCAGCAGGAAATGTTGAACTGGTCAGTGTGCTATTATCTGAATTATGGTTTGTGTCTTGTACAATTGAGAATCAAAAAAGCCACAACCCTGTTTTTACTAGTCCTCGTTACAGTGTAATAACACAGGTTTTATGCCATAACAGACTCTATCTTTTCTGGCTTCTAATGTTCATACTACAGGGTTACAGCACTTTCACTAAATGGAGATCAATGTTTGATAAAATCCGCTGAGCCAATCAAATTATTATATTATTATTTACAACCACGTGTGGGTGCCCATAGATGGTTATTTTTGTGTTAAAGTCACCAGCAGCTTCTTCTAGGGGTTTAGTTTCATTAGCTTAAATAACAAAGTTCAGTAGCAGAATGGCTACACAATGAATTATTCTCTGGTGTGTTTGATCCTGGATTTAGGCAGTGGCAATAACTCTAGCACCTTGTGTTGGAGCATAATCAGTAATAAAAACTTCTACTTCCCCTGGGTTTATGGTCATCCTTTAAACAAAACAAAAAAAAAACAATCAAATGGATACAAGTTTGACCTTATCGAGTTCATTTTAAAGTGTATTGAGGGCAAACAAGAATAAACCAACAATTAACCAAAAACATGTCTGAATTTATGCTGAATTGACTCAACAAAATCGTAAATTTTGGACCAGTGACTTTTTTAAGGGTCCACTTACTGTAAACTCAGCTGTAAACCACAAAAATATACTTTCTTGAAAACGGTGTGCTCACCACCCTGGCAATATATATATTAAAGTTGCTATTTACACAACAATGACAAAAGAAAGACAAAACGCTTGGCTCAAAATTTTGACATTGTACAAATAGACTAGCAAATGTCCATGGCTTTTCAATATCTGATTGAAGAATCTGCTTCTTGTGGATGTTTACCACGCAACAAAGCACAATTAAAAATACAAAGTGTGAAAAAAAAAATATATAAAGAAGAAGAGGCAGCGTTTGAGCGAACTGTAAAGAGATTACAGCAACTGTACAAAACAACTAATAAATTCCAGCTTTGGCTTATTTAACCGATGGACTGTTGCTTAAATGTGAACGTGTTGGCTTACTAACCAGCTCAACTGGACAGGTTTGCATTATCTTAACTGTTTATTTATACACCATACTCTTTGAAATTATAAAATTAATTATAATTATTGCAATAAATTCTGAAACTATTTTATTTTTACCTCCCATATTGTTGTTTTAAAGTTCTCTCAGCTTATTAAAGAGCCCTGGATGACTTTGACTCAATGTGCTCTGCATCTATTGATCCTAAGGGTTTAAATAAAACTTGAAAGACCCTGTTTAAATCAAAACCTGTGTGGTTGCAGCGTTGGATTTCAACACAGTTCTTGCAGTGAACATCATATGTAATTAGAGAGTCCTTAGCCTGAAAGCGACACAAATTTCTGGGATTGTTTGCGAACTTGCGAGCACAACAGCAAAACAGCAACTACAAGTAAGTGTCTGACTAGACCAGTGGCTACAATAATCTACCGCCTATTTTATTTTAACAAATTTCTCTCAGCTGCAGACGTCCTCTAAACTGCAGAAAGTACCTGATACACCTGCTTGTACACAAAAATTGTTTAGATTATTTAAACCTCCTGTATCAGTTTGAGAAATGACTTAGATATGCCCTGACATCTTCTAACATTATATCTCAGAATTACAAATTAAGGTGGAGTTGAATCATATTAATATTGACAGCTCTAAGGACCCCTGCTCTGTCTTTTATCCCCATGTCTAATCCCTCCCTTCCTCTATCTGTCTGGCTGGCGACTGCAGACCAGATCAAAGCTCCTTATGTCACCCAAGTGTCCATGCGCAAGCGCTTGACCGAGGGGCTCTCCCTGTCCTCAGAGACAGCAGGGGGTCTTCCAAGTCCAAGCGGAGAATGGAAGTCCGCCCGGTGGTCCTCGCGGTCACTGCCATCGTAGGAGCTGCAGGACGAGCTGAGGCTGTCGGCGGGCGAGCGTCCCAGGACCTCCTGTCGGCTGGATCCTTGCTGCGGCTGCTGCTGCGGGGGGAACCCGGATGGGGTGACCCGCCCGCGGGGCGGAGATATTGGCTCAGACTTGATGTTTATGCTCTGGCTGGTGTTGATAGATAAGTTGGAGCCCTGAGGTAGGTGACTTCCACCACTGCAGCAGAGATAGAAAGAAAATTTGATGTTGAGTTTACAAAAAAAAAAACAAAGTGTTTAAAGGCAGGATGTAAGCGCATGATTCAGCATATCACAGAGCAACGTGGGTGTTGCTTTCATACAAGGGCATCTGTAGAGTGTGCCTTTGTTTGGAACTGTGTTACTCACACCAAAGAATTAAGAGCTGCCTGGCCTAGTTGATGCTGTTGCCATGCAGACATGGAGCCCAGAGAGAGCCCAGGAGAACCGAAGCCCTGCAGGGAGGAGATCTCCGCACTGCTCAGCGAGTACTCTGTAAAAAACAAAAGCATCCACATACACTAAGAACTAACATTTTACATTATATGGCTGTGTGCTGCTGAGAAACAGAGCAAGAACCAGGAATGTAAACTACAAACGGTCCCAGTTAGTGTAGTGATGGGGCAGAAGGTGCATACTCACCAGCAGGATTGTAGGCGGTGGGCATGCCTGAGTAGACCAAGCCCTGTGGGGGTAAGCTGGGGGTGGTAACAGACACAACAGGAGTGGCAAGCGGCTGGGTGGACTGGGAACTGCTTATCCTATGGGTGTTCTGTAAGACACACAGAAAAGCAACACGGAGAAAATAAATGCAACCTGTCTCACAAAATAGTCTTAAAAAACAAAACACTGCGTACCTTTCATTTGATCTAAAATGAAAGGTACCAAACATCTACCACAAGGTGGCAGCAAAGCTAATAAGGCTGATAAGAAAAGTAATGAACAGAATTTTAACACTAAAAACACAAAATCAGCTAGAGTAAAAAAAAAAGAAAGTTTAATTTACTTCATTAAATTGCCTTATAAAGGAAAACTAGTATGTAACCCACACATAACATATCTTAAGGTTTTCTTATTGTTCATATGAATAATTGAGGCTTACAACACACCAAACGTCAACGAGAATTTAGAGAAAATTATGATACTATATGATACTGATACAAACTGGGAATTTGATACAGAAATGTTAGTTTACTGGTTACTATGTCTGTTTATTGTACATGGGCTTCTTATGCATGGATCACTAAAACAGATGAAAAATGGCATAGAGGCGGAACGTCTGAGTGTCTCCTGTGATATTTAAGAAGCCCAGATTGCTTTAACGTTGGCTTCAGCTTGCCTGCATTGATGTCTCTCATGTCTTTCATTGTTCTGTTTACACTAGTGTCTCTATTGTGTTAAGGCTGAGTAGGTTTACCAGGACACCATGAACGTTAAATAAGGGATCAGTACTTCTGGCTGATAATAAAATTAAAATCTCCAAAGAGATTATTAGCAGAGGGAAGCATGAATTACCCTGAACTTTCCTGGTTTTCTGCTGACTTTGGATTTCTTAAAACAAAGCGAACCCACATCAACGGATGGCATGGCCCTCCACATCAAACTGTAAGGGACCGTGGAAATTTCCTACTAGACCTGAAGGAGTTTGCTATCCTTCCCTTCTGTTCTTTCTCCACATCTGGGCCATTTTTCTTCTTAGTCTGGCTTAGATCAGAGGTTATACTACTTCACATTTAAAGCCATCTAAAATCTCCAGTTATTCTTCTTGTTTTTGTATGCTTTCAAACTACATTTTTTTTCTCCCTTAAACTTTCCACTAATGTTTTTGGATACAAAAATCAATGAAGTGTCAGTTGATTTGATGATAACCTTATGGAGGTAAAGTAAGGTAATTTTATTGGTATAGCAGTTTTCATCAGAAATAAAATCCAAAGTGCAGTACATAAAAAAAGGAAAAGAAAGACCATTGAAATGTAAATTGTAGTGGCATAAAAGTTAGAATAGAATAGAAAATTATCCCACAATGGGGAAATTCTGGTGCTTACAGCAGCAAAAAGATTATAGAAAAATTATAGAAAAATATTATTAAATAAAAAAAAAAAAAAATACATTTTTAATAGTTAAAATGATGAGATGGTTATAATATGAATGATCAGAAAAAGGCAAGTTGAACTGCAAACTTAAACTTATGTTTACATAACACAATCAAATTCCACTCTAATAAAATTAATTTTTAATCTTCAAATTTTTTCTCAGGTTTTCAGCAGTTTTAATGTTTTGTGGGACTTTATTACAGATAAGTGAAGTATAAGAAGTAAAAGCTACTCTGGGGATTCAAAGCAGAAGACCTGTGAGGTCTGGCCAATTGATACACTGAGCAATTCTGTAATGTATTTTACTGCTAATCCATTGATTCAGTGATCTATAGACTTACAGAAATATTTTAGTCCATTCTCAGACATACAGAGAGCCAGTTTAAGGACTTTAGAACTGGTGTGATGTGCTCCACTATCTAAGTGTTAGTGAGGTCGCTGGCCGCATCCTCACTACCTTCACTAACACCACTGCAAAAGTAAATTCTACTAAAGATGAATACAGTCATTTGTTTTTCTAGATTCTGCTGAGGTGAAGGTGCCAGTGACTCATCGCCACAATTGTACAAACCAGAAAATAAATGCATTACTTTTGTATTAAAAGCATAAGATTTAAGCCACAGATTCAAGTCCTCCTAAAATGATTCTAATACGTAAAATTAGGAGGGAAACACTAATGTATATATAGTATACATAGGTAATAAGTGGGAAAGAGTACACCCATAAGATCCACTCTAAGACATTCTGTCAGATAAACATTCAGTTCAATAACAGAGTGAGACAACAGATCGCTTTTACACTCACATAGCACCCGAATGAGATATTGCAAGAGGATAACGCAAATGACACATTTCAATTCCCAGAGTGACGCACAGAAAAGCTATGGTGGTTTTTTTGGTGTAGTGGCTGGCATGCATCCACACAAACACACCTACACAGCGTGGTACGGTCAAGCAGTGAGCTTTGCTGTGAGCTTCAAAATGCACACGGAGGCTAATAATCAAAAGCAGACAGACAGAAGTTTTTAAAACAATACTGCGACAAGCCCTCCGTAAGTAATAAAACAAACATGTGTGCAGCTGCCAATACTTGTGTTCATAGCTGAATTGCATCATAAAGTTGATGGTTTCCTTGAATTGTTCCAACGCTATCCGGCCAGATGACTTCACCAAACCCCAAGTATCTCACACTATGATTTCATTTTGAATGACGTAATCCCCTCTCCCTCAGTAAAAAAAGAATATATGATTTCTGTTTGTTCTTCAATTGTTACTGAGACTCCGGGTGATTAACATTTAAATGCTTGGAATAGAGGAGCCAATTTAAAAGCCCAAGACAGTCTTTACAGGCCAAACTTAATGCATGCAATGAAAAATGCTGTTGTTTTTGAAAAATCCTCTTAAGGAAAACTGTCTTCTCTTTGAACCTGGCTTTAATTCACCATCTGTGATTACTCAAAGCGTGTTAACATTTCAGCCATTTGCCCAGGCGTTTGTCAAACTCACCAAATCCATTTCCTCCTCCTCCAACTGCCCTCGACAGAAGGAAAGAAGAGAATTACGGAGCAAAGTGCTCATGGTGGGGGGGGGTTCACCATCAGAATTTTATAGTAAAAGGGAAATAAATGAAAGTAAGACTGCTAAACAGTTCTACCATCAATTTAAAATCTTAATCTTTATGAGCATTTATAAACAGTTCTGACAATGACCAAATCCTCAATCAGACTATCTGTGTAACTTGTAACTGATAGGGGATATAGACTGAAACTGTTCTCAAACCCTGACAGTAGCTCATAATCATCATAATCTAAAGATAAAGTTTCTTTCCTGTTCACCAACAATCCTCCCTGAGCCTGAAAGGAGAAACAAGAAGCCCATCTTCCATCTTTCCTTTGCTGTGGGACACACTGTGAGCAGGCAAGGGTTCCTAATACTCCTCCTCAATCAATAGCTGTGGGAAGACACGACAAGGGCGACAAGATATTATCTGGCTCACACCCTGGGCCCCTGATTAAGTCTTCATCTACACTCTGTCACACTGAGATGTGATTAATTTAATACCATTATGGCCTAATGACAGGCTGTCTGCAGACCTGCCAGGGCAGGCACCTTCCATCGTCTCTGCAGCTCAGGCAAGAATGAAGCAACCTGCAGCCCATCCTGAACCTGTTTCAGACCACCAACAGCACATCCTGTCTGCTCCTGATGCATCTAAGCCAACATACCTCACCTCAAGAACAACAAATTTAATTTAAAAAATGCCTTATAGTAGGAGAGCTCCTTTTGAATAAATGGAAGCTTAATGAAGAGTTTCATTGACAAACAATTCCAAAACCTCAGCAACATTTTTACACAGATCCTGCAAAGGACTTCTGAATGATGCTGCCTCGTTTCCCTGGTCTGTCAATCTTTGTGTTTTTTTCTATTCATATATTTCTTATAGCTGTACTCTGATTATACCTTCTCCCGACCTTGCATTATCTTTATTGTAGGTCTTGTTCATCAATCTTTAAGATAAAATAAAAAAAACATTTACAGAAATGCTGCATAAAAAGATCCTTCCATTCCCACCTAATAAATATGCTAAATATTTCCATTTGCAGAATATTTCATGTGCATTAAAGAAGTACCCTAAAGTTTTTCCCTAAGCTCATATGTTACAAAAAATGCAAAAACAACATTGCTGTAGTATGCAACTTCACTGCAGATAAACAAAGACATGAATGAGGTAATCCATGCAATGCTGAGGTGATTGTCAAAGACGTGTGCAGGCAAATCCAGCACCACTTTTTACTATGAAAGTTCTCATAATGCCTCTCAGGTCCTCAGGCTGATTAAACTGGTGTGCAGTGGTGTGCTCTTTACTCACCAGCGGGGGCATCATCCCCTTGCTCGATGGAGGGATGACAACCCTCAGGTCTGGCTTGCGGTTCCCCATTCCTAAGTTCCCCCCAGGAGGCGGCGGAGACTTAGTAGGCATGACTTTACCCAGGCCGTTGCCACTGGGTGTGCTGAGGATGCTCGGCGAGCCCCTGGGGTTAACGAAGCCGTTCCCTGCAGAGACACACAGAAAAGGAAACGCATCATCAAACCAGGGCACCATGACTGACAACACTCCCGGCCATCAGAGAGACCTCTCATGCCGTCTTGTTCCGCAGCTCGCGTGCAGCACGCAGTGTTAAGTGTTTCCAACCCTCTGGGAAGTTTTAATCGACTAGGATAATTATCTTGCACATTTACAAAAATAAAACGTCCATTTCAAAATTGATGAGCCTTTAATTTTTTATTGTGAATGATTACATTAAAGGCAAGACTATGCATCTTGGGGATGAGGCGCAGTTCATTGGCAAATGTACTGTGACCACTTAAAAGAAAGAAAAAATTATTACAGTTGAGGAAATGTTCTGCTATGTTAGTTTGTCAAGCAGAAAACAGAAAAGTGCAAGAGTTTGGTCTCAACAGTCACACCTTGGTAACTGTAGTCATTAGTCATTTCCTTTATCATTATTCTTATTTTTATAACACAACAAACATGAATCCAAGCAGGTTATTTTCAAAATTAGTAACCCAACTACTACAACTTCAAAAAGGATAAATCTCATCAATGGATTAGGACAGATTAGTAAAATTAGGAAAAATAAAAATTAAGAAATATTCTTTGCTGGAGTTTAAGTTGTTAGGAGTTCTCTCTCATGGCATGAGCTGCATTAGTACAGATTAGCACACATTTAACAAAAGCAGAAAACAGACTTGCTTTGAAGATCCACTTCGAGTTTGTCTGTTACAAGGACTCATTGTCCAACCGTGATAAATTGCAGCTGCCTGCAAGTGTCTGCATCTGCTTAGTTTACAAACTGTTGACATGTTTTAACACGTCTTGTAAAAAATAGAAGAGATAGTTCCTGTTTTTGCAAACCTACAATATTTTTGTTGCTTTTTTTTTCATCAGCACTGTATTGTATGACTCATCTGCACAAGGTCTGCAGCACTTTAATAAAACCTAGGCCCTCAATTGTTGGAAGACCAAAATGGCACAAGAGAACAAGTAATACTTTGAGTGCACTTGAATTTTAAAAGGATTGTGCTTTTAATGCACATTTGATTGGAATTTAAAAACTTAGTTTTATATCTGACAATTATGAGGATAAAAAGAATTCATGTTATCTCCCAAAACATCAACAGATCAGTAACACTTTAACAAGTTGCTGACTTGTCCATTGTCTTTAGCCGACAGAAACACAAAGTGTGTACATGACTAGGTGGCTCGGGGGTAAAAAAACATAATGGAACAATAGCCCTCACTGAATGCAGATAAGGCTAGCAACAATTCATGGCCAAATAAACACTTATGGAGCCTACAATAGTATCTCACAGCTGAATCAACAGTGTGTACAAGCAGCTATCGCCATCAGCTCTGGCTTTGATCACACACAAGGCTTGGCTGCCGCTGCAAGAAAACAGTGTTTACAGAATTAGCAGGGTAAATGTCCAATGCTCCAAAAATAGCAAGTCTGATTAAAAACAGCCAGGATGTCATTTTGTGGGAATGAGAAGTTAGAGCAAATAGGATTTCATGTTAAGGAATAGAAGGCAATGTGGCAATTTGGCACATAAAGAGCAATCTGAAAACAAGCAGCAAGCTGGTGTTTAACTCTGGCAGAAGTCTGAAGTGAACATTAAACATGAAGTTGTTTTTGAGAGAAAACAGGACAACAGGGATGACAAATTGGCTGTTTTCACTACAGACATTTTGACTTACAGGAGGAGGGAGCCAACATCCCTGTCATTACTGGATTGTTTGTTTTAGCTCCGGAACCACATTGTTGTTGTGATTTGTAACAGCACTCCCTATATTGTAAATGCTGCATGCTCAGAAGGCCAGCTTACTGGAGTCTCTTTTTACATTGTATCGCAAACGTATTCAAACTAAAACTCTTGCACATATAAGAATATGGCCTTAAAACCACTACTTTGGTTTATTTTACTGGGATGTATTTGTCAGACCTACACAGAGTAGCCCATAGTTATGATTAATGATGAATTTAAGAACTGGGGTGCATTTATATTCAGTCCTCTTAACTTAGTTACCCCTCTATATAATCTAGTGCAGTACAATATATTCTTGAGCCAACTAATTCTTTAATATAAATACTTTAGCTGTTCTGTGCAGGCCAGAACACAAGTGAACAAAAAGCCCCATGAAGACCAAGCAACACACCTCATGATTTTGCATGAGGTTGTGTTTTCACAGACAGTAGAGTAGATCTAGGTTAAAAAACAACTTCAAAAGCTTTGAAGATCTCACTGAGCACAGCTCGGCCAACTGAAAAGGGGAAAGAGTGCAGAAAGGGCCTGAGAAGCCAAAAGGCTCAGGGTAACTGTGGAGGAAAAAAGCCAAAAGAACTCTTGTATGAATTTTGCCAAAGGTCATGCAGTATGGGGGAAAGGTTTTCAACTCTGGTTCTCAGGGTCCCTTGTCTAGCTTCTTTTTGTTTTTTACCTACCTCCGCACACCTGACTTAAATAAATGAGTGATTAAAAGACCTCTGCAACCCTCGGAGGCTGTTGAGAAGGAAATACAATAATATCAGTCAGGTGTGTTGAAGTAGAGATACAGCTGAAACATACAGGGCAGTGGGCACAGATGACCAGGGTTGAAGCCCTTGGATATGGGAGACACAGCAAAAAAAAAAGGAAAATGCTGATCTGTTGAGTTGAGACAAAAATGTAAATGTACCTGCTAATTGCTAAATGTTCTATCTTGGTAAAATGCCGCATCCCCCTCACAGCATCAAAGCAGTAAAACATGGTGGTGGGGCCATCATATAGTACTATGGGAAAGATTTTTCTCAATGGAGACAAAAATTCTAGGAAAAATTTAAAGTATTGGGCAAAGGTGTCAGTCACTATATGGCAGAGTGATACCTCAAAACAATATACATATGCTACATATATATATATATATCCCCTTTAAATCTATAAACTTTAATCATATGCAGCACAGGATACCCACAATAACTCCCTTGTTCTGCTTATATGTCTGTGATTCTGTGGGTTTCATTTTGCCCAACTGATGTAATTGCTCCAAAACAATATCTGACCAAAACATCAGCATAAGTACCATGGCTGCTGTTTTTGTTATTGCAGTTTTACTAGTCATGCAACCCCAGGATCAATTATCATCTCAGTCAATGTGGATGTTTTTCTTTTTCTGCACTGACAGACAGAGGAGAGTGTATTACTCTGTCATCTGTTAGTTAATCGAAAGGCAAACATAGAAAATCTGCATTGCTTTCACTGATTGATTTAGGTTTGAATTCATCCGCTGGACTTTCTCATCTGACAAATGTCCCTGAGAAGTCTGATGATGACTGAATGAAACGATTAGCCAGCATGAAAAAAAATGTACTTGACCTAAAAAGTTAATTTAAAGCCAAGGCACCAACTGCAATCTAAGACACTGCCTTAATTGATGACTGAGGGCTGTTTCTAACATCTGTCCTCATGCTATATTCAGACTTTCTGGCCCTTTACTGTAAGTCCTCTGCTACCTAAACCTGTCCACACTGAAGGATGCTTGGTTTATGATGGTCACCCTAAATTATTAACATAGTGTGGAAAACTGGGGGCATTACATAAGGCCTTGTGTTTACAACTGAAGCCTTCCATTTTTCTTTTCACGATCAGGGAAAAAGAACAGGGTGAGTTATTGTTCGCAGCATCCCACGTGTACGTATGTGTGAATGAGAACAAATAATGGGAGCCAATCAAGGACAACAAAAAGCGGCTTTCAACTAATATAAACCGTGTACTGATCTTTTGTTGGATCTCAGAGGAATAAGTGTGGGGGTAAAAAATAATTGCATCTACCATAAGGATTTAAAATATTTTGCTCATCCAACTAATCTTGGGCAAATATATCAAAACGTACTGAGGAAGAAAATAAATATCCTAAAATGAAGCTTTCACTAAACAGACCCAATTTCACTGCTGCACTACTCCATTAGGTTTAGTTCAGAACCCCTTTCTGTAGTTCACATTTTCTCATGATACAAACAAGAACTCTAACCAAGCGATGCATAAATTCAATGGAGGGTGGAGGAAATGTAGTTTTCCTTTGTCTTAAGGTCCAATTAAGCCCCTCGTAAGGGTTAGTGGAACCAATTTTTATTGAAAGTTCTGCTGCAAATCTTTTAAGGATCTCCTGAAACCATTCTGCATGTCTTCAAACTATTTTTTCACCTATTTCTTTTGCAAAATAGCTCTAGCTCAAATAGCTAGGATTTTATTTCTCTTTCTTTTAAGTAAATAAAGGGGAACAGATTTTACAGCAAATTAAGTGTAACTCATGTTCAGCAGACACAGCTCCAGGTATTTCAGAGCCTCTCATTGCTTCATTCCTCTCTTATGGCACATTAACACCAAATGCATTTCAAGGACACACAAAAAGTGTCCAACACCTCAACTTGGACACTTGTGCACATAAGTTGTAAGTGGTTAGAAACCCTTCTGATGCAGTCCTGAAGGAAGAATCCTGTTTTTCCTTTTTTTTTTCTCTTTCCTTGGCTATTTTTTTTTTTTTTTGTGTACAATGGCAAATTTGATCAACAGTGGCTTAGCTGTATTAACTTTGATGACAGTGGGAAAAAGTACTTAGGATTTAGTCAGTAAATCAGAGTTATGATCCTGCTTTTAAATATTGTGGTATTGTTTCAGGTGGCAGAACCCCAGCATGAAGACCCATGACCGCACCAGTAATCTCATTGACGATCCCTTAAACTGACCAGAATGTCAGGGATTTTCTGTTACTGGCAGAAAGTTAACATAAAGCATTTTTTGAGGTTGAGGTAAAAACTGCAAGTACCAGAATATAAAATAGAATATTCTATGCCAGCGGGTTTTGAGATTTTTTGTTAGTGTATGTAATAAACAACTTTTTAGTAACACAATATTTCAGCGGAGTACTAATGATGACCAGAGCACTCTTTTTTTTCCTGGTACATAAAAAAATAATTCACCTGGCTTTTCTGTAATCTCAGTACCATTTAACTCCTTTGTATTTTTACATTTTTATAGTTTCATGCTGACAGCTCAGTAGGAGGAGAGATCACAGCTTGGATGAAGTGTCTGTTTCTATAAGCTAATTGACTGAATCAGTGCAAAACTTCAGATTTCCAACACTAGCTTCTGCAGCTTTGGATGAGCTTGTCGCTTCAATGCTCAAAACGCACCGTAGGACCTCTTGACACCACGTAGTGTGCACCCACCATAAACTCTGCATGTAAACCAGGCACCTCTTGCATTCAAAACATGTTCAGTATTGCCCCATTTACATTAGCCCTCTGAAACCAACCTGTGCCATGTTCGGACTGAGCTTAGATCAGTTAACCGTGCCGAGCTTGGTTCTTAAATCATTTGCACATCATGCTAGCACGGTTCCTCGCCTCCTATCGGTGGTCCACGATACTAGAGCTCTCAAGGCAGGAATTGCGCAAACAAAAATGGCAGCGCACATGACATTCAGGAACTTATGATTGTTTATATAAGTGATATTTGATTGTTTGCGGAATGTCAGGCAAAGAAGGAATCATCTCAATCTCGGCGTGATCCCAGGTTGCACTACTCTCTTTTGATGCCATTTATTGTTAATAAGCTGAGGAGAAGTTTGTGTTGTGAACAGGTGAAGAGATCAAAGCCGGACGCCGGAAATGAGTCAGCTGACAGTAAATAGAAGATGACGCAGTCTGCTCTTGAGCTATTTGCTATCAGGAACCGAGCCACAACTGAACCATGTCAAGCCCTGCTGTGGAACTAGTACTAGATATAGTGCAGTTCAGTTGTGTTTGGCACAGTCCAGTTCAGTTTTATTCCATTTACACTCAACAGTTATCCCGGCTTACCGTCCCTGGACCACTCTCGGCACGGTTTTAAAAGGGTAGTGTAAACGGGTATACAATTGCACCCTAAAGACATGATGCAACCATGTTTAAACATAGGGGCGTTGTGTTCCAAATGAGTTAAGGCGTAGATTTCTTGCCATAGACGATATTTTCCACGTGGACCAAAAAGTAAAATTTTTGTCTCATGTATGGATCAATGCATGAAGCATGACTAGTAATTGAGGTTTACAAGTTCAAACGGTTTGAGTTCTGTTGCACCTAACACTTTTTGTGACAGCCATTGAAAACTGTTTATAAAAAATATAACATATAAACATTGATGTTCGTGTGGTTAAAGTAACACACTACAAGAATGTTCCATGGCTATGAGTACTTATAGTGCAGAAAATAGGAAATATGATTCTCTACTTTAAAAGCATATTCTTCCAGGTCAGATAATAAGTTAAGCTAAAATACATGTTGCATGGTGTTTTAATCTCCCAACTTCCCTACAGCTTTCAAACGTCACAAGGACCATTGGATGCAATTAACTGGATTCGTACAAGTTGCAGACTTGGAGTGTGCACGGTTGTATTAAAAAAGTTTAAAAATAACTTCAAAGAAAAGTAGTTGTGTTTTTAAAGGTGCTGATGAGCCATTATCTCAGCCACAGACAAGGACAACAGATGGCCTATTTGAGAAAAAAAACAGCAGCAGCCAATGAATGTGGCCAATGGTGCTCACAGTGGCACTATACAAGCACATATGAGACAGAACACTTGAAAACATAGCAAACAAACAGGAAATTAGAATAGTAGTTATAGAACTAGACGTGTTCCTGAGCATTGTCCTCTGTCATTTGTGACACCATCTAAATAGAAAAGAGATATCACATGATTCATCTTCCATCTGTCCCCTTTGAATGCCTTAACAGCGCTCATGACTGTGGCTCATGAAAAATCATAAGTATGTCAGGAAGGGTCATCTGACATGGGGGCCTGAGAGGCTTGTTCTGTTTGTGGCCTCGGCTCCTCTGCAAACACAGTACAAGCAACAGCTGCAACATGTTTGTACTTTGCCTAATGGTGACTACAACACCCCCCTCGGTAGGGATGAGGTCTCGACCCAGATAAGGAATCAAAACCTGCCGCCCATTTGATCATCTTCACTTACTGAAACGTTTAGAATAAAATAGCTCCAAAGAAAGACATCAACGTCATGCTGTTCTGTGAAGATATTTTGCATTTGACCGGTAATCCCACTGAGTCATAAAGAAAGAGTTAAACTCCACCTGCCTGCACAACTCACTGAACACATTTCAGCCATGACAGCCTGTCCGGTCATTGTGTACTAAGGACTTAGTGGGATGACATGGCCTGAATAGCTGCAGGGTTATGCTGCTCTAGGCATCTTAGCCATCCTCCCCGGCCTTATAAGGGCAGAGAGGGGGAAGCTGTGGGAAAACAGATGCACCTGTTAATAGGTCTCATTACAATGTCAGTGGACAGCTAATGACCTGCCTTAAAACATTTTTCAGCACAGAGAAGGAAAAAAAATAAGTGTGTGGATTTTATTTTTTTATTTAAATTAGATTTACTTTTTCATGCAGCAAAATTAGTATCTGACCAACTCACAATCCATGAGAGGTGGTTAGAAGGGTTTTGAAGCCATTTTTTTTTTTATTATTTAAAGGCATCTACCCAACCCATGTGCTAAGCAGGAGGCCTACCGGGCACAGCAACAGAGGGCTAATGAATCTCTCCAGGAGGACTTACCCGCTGGGCTGGAGCCCGCACCACTTGGCACTGAAAGGTCTGTGGTATCCAGCATGCCACCTAATGAGATGCACAGAGTGGATATGATTAACCATCTGCATCCTTTCTACAAGCGAGCAGAGCATGTGATGGAGATGCCAGACCAGACGTCAGAATGTCAAGCAATCTTATCCTCACAGAACATGAAAGTCTGCCTTGTTTCCTCTTGGTAGGGGAAGATTTTTAGAATAGATGTTGATGGAGAGCTAAATCAGCATGTTGTTTTTTTGTGAGTGTTAGCATGCTTATAGGAACTGAGCTAATGATCGTAGCATTACAGTTGGCGTCAGATCTTCATCAAGCAATTATGCATGCTCTCGGAAAGCAAGCTTTATATAATCTGACATACACCTTGAGCAGAGCATTTTTAAAGAAGAGCATTAAGGAAGCAAAAACAATACAGCACTGTGCAAATGGGATGATAGTGTAAAAGATATAAATCTACTTTTCTCTTACTACCACTTAGAGTAGCTTTTAGCTTCAACAAAAGGGTCTAAATAACTCAGATTTATACTAAACAAGAACAATAAAAGAATTAACAACCAAAGGTAGAGTAAGATATTGGCTTCTTACAACATTCTAAAGATACCTCACTGCAAAATGCCTGAACATCTCTAAACGGGATGCACTGTAGGTGTGCAAAACTACCAAAGAATTTTATTTTTGAAACAAGTTGGTGTTACACAAAATGAGAAACTAGATGACAAAGATAAAAGAATGAAAGAGGTAAAAAAAAAAAAAAAAAAAGCAGCCGTTTAGTACATACCATTTGCTAGAAGTTCTAATGTGTGGTTAAAGCTCTTTTAGGAAGCTGGTTTCATGCATCCCCACTTTGCTCAGAGCAAAGAAATCCTACAAGAACCATTTTGATGGATTGAGTCAGATCGGTTATGCAAGAAGAGGTACATCTGACATGGTTTTGTTTTTTTTCAACAAGCTGATATAAGAGAAGGTGTGATGATGACATTTTTAGTGGGTGCGAAGACATTCTACAGTCGCTAGTTAAAAGTGTTAGTGTGAGACTACCTTGCATTAAGTCCCCCATAATCAATGCCATTTGGGGCAATAATGAGAAATGCCTCTTTTTATTCTTTGAAATGAAGATCTACATCCGAAGATCGGGAAATATTTTTTTATAATTCTGAAGCAAAAATTAAAAAAATTGCTAGAAAAACTTCAAATAGGTAAACCTCACTAATTAACAAAGTGTTATAGGAGTAGCCATTCAAAATTTCCCCACTTTGATGGGTCCTTGGTTGGTCCTTGGCTGGTCCCCTACAATTCCTTTTTTAAACATGAATCTTTGTACTAAAATATTCTTTCTGTCACGATTTGTGGACATTAAGATCTAAAGAGAAGCACCATCTCCTGGTCAGACCCTGTAATTCAGTGAAAGGGTGGAGTCAGAATAGAAAACATATGTACGCCCAGGAGAAGGAGCGGGTCACTCCAGTGGCTGGAAGTTGGGGGGCATTTTGCTGGGAGTTGCAGGGAAGTGGGCTGCCATTTGGCTGCTGTTTGACTGGGAAGGACCATTTTGAATGGCTGCTACTGTATGTTATTATTGACAATCTGAGAATGAAGAAAATATTATACAATCACATTCACTTTCTCCCCAGGCTTTCAGCATTTGTGTCCCTAAATTAAGAAAACTATAAACCCAGTACCCACACTTTGTTACTGATAGCTCTCGAGTAAAAACTAGAAGACAAATGAACCAAGCACCAAACACTTTAAACATCTGTAAGAACTTAATCCACCGATAGAGAAACAAAGCTTTATTTCGTGTTCACTAACCTGCACTGCCTGCACTGGTGGGCCTCTGCGATCCTCCACCAGAGCCAACATTCCTGTGCAGGGAGGCCTGCGGAGGGGACAGCATCCCGCTGTCATTCAGTGAGGCCGTGGCTGCTGCCAGGGCCTGGCTACCCAGATTCCCTCCCGCCTGGTACATAGCGTTAGGATTGGACACGGGCACCGCCACATGCATGGAGAAGTTCTGCTGAGGCAACGCCGTGGGCTGGAGAAAGGAGACACACAGATAAATATTTACACACAGCACACTCCGAATCCAAGTTCTGATATGTGGCTGAACGTCGGTTGTCATAGGAACATTAACAGACAGCTCCTGCAAAGAGGGGGGCTTGAAAAGTGTAAGAAATGTACAAAATGATAAGACGATTAAAAAAATGACTAAAATAAATGAGCTACATTCAAATCTTTACAATCCTCTGCACAAACATTGAGTCTATAATATCAAGTAAACAGGTGCAGCACAACAAATAACAATATCATATTACATTTAACTGGTTCCACATAAAGTTTTATGACAGAATGATATACGGTAATCCAAGTGTGTATTTTTAATCGCCTTGTTGATTATGATTTCTATCTAGTGAAAACCCCAAAAATAGTTTCTTAGAAAATCAGAATGAAAAAAGAAAAAATATCAGCCTACTTTAAAGCATGTCTATGTCCTGCAGTGCATGTGTCCTATACTTTGCTGGAGCTCGTTTTGCATAGATTACCACATTAATGTGACAAGGGATGAAAAGTGATCAGTCTGTGGCTCTTCAAACTGGTAAAGAAAACTAGTTTCCTTTAAAAGTGGCCTTTGGCTCGTCTACATGGATGAGTCTGGTGTTCGTCATCCTCCTCTTGACAGTCCTGCTTTGATTCTCTTGATAAATCCCAGCTGACCAATGACAGTAAATGACGTGGTTCCTCAGAACCTCTCTCGATGTGGAAACCTCACATTCAACTTCCCTCTTGCTAATCTCACCTCAACTTTTGAATAGATATTACTTGAAAATCCTCCTAAAACTGTGTTTTTTCTTGTATGTGCTTCTTTTATGACCACATGGTTTGCTTACTCCCAAAAGTTCCATTCATATGCTTTGCAACTGAAGTTTGCAAGACCTTTTTTTCATTAGATCTCTATGATTATATACGTTTTTAGCTTTTAATTAATATTAATATTTAACGAAACTCCTTGGAATATATAACATCCTTCTGTTTTTGAATAGCTCCATAAAATATGTGAGTTTATCTTTATACTGGATACAGAAATAAAGTCACCGTTTCACGACCCTCTGATTTTTAGAGATGTGAATGCATACGTGTACAACAACAATCATCTGTTAAACACAGATACACTTTCAAAAGTCCACGATATACACAAAAAACAGACAACAAAACAAAATACAAAAACAAGGTCATGCATACTGTGACGACAGTGGCATTGCAGCAATCAGCACTTCAGAGGTAATCCTCACCTTAAAAAAAAAAAAAAAAGATACTGACAGTAACGAATTGTTTCGGTTTTTTATTTTTTATTTTTTTTATTTATTTTTTTTTATAACAAAACAGAGAGTATTACTAAAGATTAAACACTCCAACAACCTCGACTCGTTGCATTTATTTCCAAAGTGCTGACTTTGCAAAGCCTTAATTGTAAAAACAACAGGTGCATTTCATTGCAGTATCATCCAATAAGCTGGGTGGTGCGGACATTAGTTTGTTAATGGCAAAGTCAGGGTCTTTTAATAAAGGGAAATGGAAAGAATTAAATGACCGTTTAGTGAGAAAGTATGTGTTCTTGCACAAGGGTAACAACATTGTTAAGGAAATCTAATAAATATTATCTTTTAGTGTTGGTTTGTAAAATTGTTTTGTATTTTTATCCAGCATACCATTGAATATTACAACAGGACGCATACAATTAATCAATGCCAGAGCTACTGCAAGTGTTTGAGATATATAACTTGAATGAAAGTATTTATATCATTTTTATTTGTTAAAATAGTTAGTCCTCTTGAATTTATAGTAACCATCCCCGTGATAAAAGGGTGCAATGTTTTAGCAGAAGCATGCAACATTTCATCTGTTAATGAAATGCAATCTTGTAAGGGTGTGTCAAAATATAAGCTGCAAAATAAATCAACTGAAGAAACGAATGCAAACCCTGTTAAGGGTATTAGTCTAAAAGAAGTGTAGTTCTGACACAAGTTGACTAGAGAGCAACAAAAAGTAAAATTAATAAAAAAGAGAGAATCCTTGTGTGCCACAAAGCCAAGCAAGAACGTTGCATTTACAGTACTTACGATTTTATGATTTCTCATCATATTATCAAACTCCTCATTAATTTTTTTATATTTTTCTTCTGTGTGAGGAGTGAGGACATATGAGGCATCGGGGTCCGGGCTATCACAACCTCTGTGTTCTTTCTTGTTTAGCGCCTGTGGTGAACATCAACATAAAGACAAAAAATCAACACAAAACAGCAGGAGACAAAAGGAAGTACTTACACCACAGCGCTTGTACATTAAATCACTGTCTTCGCTTAGTTTGCCGAAATGGTCATCCATGAGGGGGCTGTGCCCGAAACAGTCATCAGGATCGGGACTAGCACAGTCATTATGGCCTTTGTTTCTCAATTTCTGAAATGAAATTGCACAGTTGAACAGACAGGGTATGCAAAACGTTTTGTTGTTGATTTTTCTTTTCTTTCTGTTTCTCAGTTACTGCGCAGTCCATAAAGAAATACATCCTCAAAAAGAGGTCTAATCTGAGTGGAAATAAATTCTGTAGGCAGACAAACATACAGTGAGAGTCATGAAGCACAAGTCGTGCAGCAGATGGTGCAACTCCCACAGAGGCCTTATTTATCAGCATTATTAAGCCAGTTTGGTGTGCACGAATATGTAGACTTAAATGTTAAATCACACGAGAACTGAGCCATTGTCTTGAATTATGGTTTTAACAGCTGAGGTTTGCACACAAATATGGTTTTGTATAGTTTTTTTTCAGCTTGTTGTAAGTCGGACTTGATCATTCTCACTTCTGAAACCACACGGCACTTCTGTACAATTCAACACTTCAGCTAAAGTGTTTTTTTGCTGCTGAAAACACAGATCTCTACCACAGGACTGATAGGTTTCTAGATGAATATTGGACACCTTCATAAAAGGTCTAATGAAAATATTCAAACCCCTGAAACCTTTTTGACCTTTTCATCATATCAAATCAAAAACAAGAGAAGAAAAACACTCAATATGTACTAATACATCATTTTCTAAAAGTCTCCCCAAGATAAAAAAAAAAAAAAGAAATGGTCCTACTGCAGATTCAGTGCGAGTTCTCTGTGCAAAACTTGCAGACAAACTATATCTCAATCAGAGCAAACATTTTTGCCCATTCTTTTTTTTCTAAATAGGTCTATCAAACATCACTGCCCTTGTGGTTTTAATGGGTTTATTAAATTGGCATGGCAGTACTATATCGACTAAAGGACAGCCATCCAACCTCAAAAGATAGCATACAGACAGTAGCTAAAATGGCAGCAAAACAGGAAATCATTATGATGTACAATTGTAGAGAGAGACATAATAAAGTTCACAGAGTGGTCCGATCTCTATTGAACATTTTGGATGGATGGAGAAGTTGTGAAATGTATTCAATACTTCTCATAACCTCTGGCAAGGAGGTTAAGTTTTTAGTTGAGGGTGTCTGTGTGTGTATTTGTTCGTCTCTCTGGAGGTCTGTGTAAAGGAAAGTTTTTAAAAGTTACGAACAAATTATAATGAAATTGTTTACCAAACTTGCACCTCAGCCCATGGACAATCAACTAAATGTGATGACCCACATCATCATCTGGATGCAGGATTGTTTTTAAAAATTTTTCACATTATTTAGCGGAACAAGCAGTTCCCTTCTAAACCAGAGGGTGGCATCGGTGACTATTGCCAGCTTCAGCATCGGACTGAAAAAAGTCTTATAGTATTATACTGAAGACAAAAACGCAGAATTAAGAGGGTGAGAGCAGATCAAACACCAGAGGCTGCAGAGATGCTGTGCCTTATTTAGAAACCTATGACAGGATTTTAAGAAAAATGTTTCCAAAGGTGCAGCTCATGCTAAAAGAAAAATGTGTTATAATTTGGTAATGATCCAGATCATGTGTGAGTTTTAGCTATAGGTGTCAATCATGATATGGGGCAAAATTTGCTGCTTGGCAGAGATCTGTGTTCTGCAAGTGCTTTTGTAGTCTTTTAATGGTTCTTTTAATGAGTTATACTACCTCACACTGCTTGCATGGTCATCATTGGCATTGCTCTTGCTGTGGTTTTCTGTAAACTCCCTGATGATGATCGACTATGACTGAAGTCAATGCATTTTTACACCATGTTTTTCTCCCACACTATTTACATTTTTCATTGCTGCACTTTATGAAATAGAAATTTGAATTTCACTGCTAAGCTGCCGCACATTTACTGTCTGAAAGATGTAAAAAAAATAAATTAAATGCTATTTAAGTCGAAGACTCTAAAACACATGAAAAAAATACATAAAATTGCCTCAAGTTTTTGTGGGTCTACATATTTACAATCAGGTTAAATGGGCCTATAGGCTTCTTGCCGTTCCCCTTACATGGTTCAACAACTACTACAAGCCTTCAAGTGGCTTCCTGTTCATTAATAATTCTTCTTTAAAGTCCAGAATTGCAGTGTTCATGTTGGTATATGTTCCCACCTGAGCCCTGGATCTCTGAATATGAAAGAGAGTTGCCACTGGCCACTGATCTAATTGGTGATCTTCTTGATTTGCCTTCTAACATGGACATACATTTTTTGGTAACTTTTTGAACTTTGACAGACTCTTTTAATCTCTATATACATACATACATACATACATACATATATATATATATATATTGGTTCAGATTAGTACATATGATCAAATGGAATCTAATCCTTTGGGAAAATCAGTCATGTTTGTTCTGAATGTTTATCTAAGAACATACTTACATATTTAACAGAAATAATCAACAAGTCCCTAATGTGACAGCATCACAAAGAGGCTCAGAGGGAGTGAGAAACATGCGAAACAAGTCAACAAATATCCCTGATATTCCGTTCCTATGCTCCCCTTCATACAGGCTCGTCTCTGCTCCTCGTTAGAGCTCTGAATAGCAGCGTTAACAAGACTCACTGACAGCATATGACAGCTTGTGATATCAAGGAAGCGTACATCAAAAACATGATTTATGTGCCGCTCTTGAGACTCCTCTATCAGGTCCACGGCAGTGCCCTGCCCTGTCTGCAGGCCGTCTCGGAGGCCTTGTGTCTACAGGAAGGTCAGTGACTCCTGTGGATGAGGGGGTCGGAGTGCGAGCTAGGGAAGGGGAAACCTACAAGCTCTAATGAGACCTCGCTCTCTGCTTCTGGTCCTCATCACACAGCAAAGTTGAAAATGTTTGTGTGTGTGTGTGTGAAACAGAAACTGTATGTGTAGTGCACATGTGTATGATGTGTGGAAGTTGAGGGAAGAGTACAGCCAAGTGGGGGAGGGGGTGCTTCTACAGCTGCTGCATCCTCTGACAAGTGATGTGACGGTCTGTTAGGACTGTGCAGGCAATGCGGCTACCCCACCACAACCTCAGCATGAGCTGCATTTCCTAAACTCTGTGCCTTGGTTTTAAACTCCTGCATAATTCCCTGGCTCATTAAGGCTGGAAGGTGCCAAGTCTCAAACTGCTCCCTTCGTCTCCATTCATTCGTGCACTCACGTGTTTTTGAGGGCTGTGTATTTTTGGGGCACAATAAACAATGTTAATATGCAGCGTGTGCACAGAAAATATGCGCCTCTTTGACAGCTGAGATAGAAAATAAGGTAGTTCAGAATAAACACCCACATAAGTGTCCACAATGCCCAGAGGACTGCAAGAGAGAGAAGCCCTCTGGATAATGAATGACCATTGCTGTACCACAGATGCATTACTGTTTGGTGTGGTACAGAGCAGAGGCATTCTTCTCATTCTAAGAAAACGCCTTGCTGGTTCATTTCCTGTTTACTAAAAGAGCCCTCTTTAGTTAGGGTCCTGAAAGGCCTGTGTTTACTGAAGTCCAACTATGCACTTTCACCACCACTGAGTCAAAGATCTGATCCCAACCTGCAAATTAAGGTTTCAACCTGCTCATTATGGGAATATGTTGGTCATACTGGTCGAGATGGGCAGATCTGCTCTGTTTCACAACAAGTCTGGCCAGGCTTCGACACACCACACCCTTTGGCTGAAGCCATCTGGGGAGGTGTTGTAAGCAGCAGTGCAAGAGAGCAGCTACCAAACCAAAGTAGTCAAGGGGTAGACAAAATGTAAGTTCGAAAAATACAGAGTTGTACTGAAAAGCCTTAAGCCAACTATCATTTTTAATATGCAAGATCCAAGAACCTAGAATCTCCACAGTATCTCTCCAGAATTTTTTTTCTGCTTTGACTTTGGCTGCTTTTACATCATCTAACTCAGATGTATGAATTATTCAAACATTAAAAGGTCCCCTAAGCTGAAAGGATGACCCAAGCTTGTATCTTTTCTAGATGCCTTAAACACTTACTAACACCAACCCAGTAAAACAAGAAAACTAAAGACTTCTCATTTCATAAGTAGAATATTTGAAATACAGTATATCAAAAATCAAATATTATAAAAAGACAGCAACAAGATCATTGATAAAATGCTACAAGCCAAAACTGGGCATACAGTAGTTGATTGATGGACCGCAATCAAGATCAAAGCAAAGCTAACTCAGACAACCACAAAATGACTTTTCAGGCATCTCAGCTGAATTCCTTAGCTAATTTGCAGCCTGCAACCATGTAGTAATATAATGGTCAAAGCAAAGGTTCACAAAAAGGAAAAACATTCATTTTGTGGTTTTTGTCAACATGCAAATATTTGGAATAAAGAAAATATTATACCGTAACAAATATGGGGCCAAATGTTCAAGAACTCAACACAGAGCAGAGGCGAGCTAATGTTATTCCACAGGCATTCTCTTTGCAAAAATCATCAGAAAAATGAGATGTATGTTTACCTAAAACTTTTTGTGATGATATTGGCAGACGCCAACAATCCTTTAGAAATAAATTTTAAAGCTTTGTATGTTTTTTTGTTAAATCTAAAACCTAGTAAACGTCATGTTGAAGCATCCATCGTTCTGTAGAGCCCACATAGTACTGGGCACTCTTCAGAAAAAAGCAAACAAATCTTGAACATCTTCTTTGAGTTACACACAGTTTGCTTTTGCAGGCCATTTTAAAATTAGGACATGTGGGGAGAATTCCAGGTTTATATCAGAAGAATATTTAAAAAAGAGAATGGTTATCCACTTTTACTAAAGAGGAGTGTTGGCCTCGTGATTAGAGCAGTGCACTTGTGCTCTGAGAAGGTTGCAAGTACACTGCTCGATCCCCACATCCTGCAATCTGGGTTCCTGAGCCAAACCTTTAACCCCACACTGCTCCCCGGGTGCCACACAATGGCATCCCACTTCTCCCCAAGGGTATGGGTTAAATGCAGGGAGTGAATTTCTGCATTGTGGGACAAAACACATTTTGTTTTGTTTTTTACATTGTTGAAGTGTGAATTACTTTTGAATAT